AGGTGTACGTGGCTGGCGCCTTAGCCGGTTGAGCTATAGGCGCCGAGCCAGGAGAGTAACTCTTAAAAGATGTACAATTCTAAATATATTCCAACAGAATAAGTATTCTTTATAGCTTATCTCCATGATGACTGTGAAATGTGTGCAGAGAAATTCTGAAAATGAGACTCACTTCTAGGGAATTCTGTTGTGACTGTTTTGGATATCTCAGGTGGGTACCAAAGTCCAAGGGTGCTAACATGGTCTCTGAATTTTCTGGACAGAACTGAGATCCGAAGAGGAATTGAGAATCACTGAGACTAGAGTAATCAGTCTGATTATTAATCCAATTAGATGACTTAGTGGTCCTGAAATTAAGTAAGAAAAGTATATTAAGTGGACAAACATCTTGAATAAATGAAATCATAGTTCACAACTCTTTCAGAATATTTTGGATAGACTGCTAACTTGTACACATTATCAGTATGACCTGTGAAGAAACACAAGGAAATTTTGACTTCTACACATTTTGATTACAAACATGGGAAGAACCCAATAGAAATTAAAACAGAAAGGATGGACACTATTATTTCTTGTATAATAGCATTCTGAACTATAACACCATTTTGGAGATCAAAGTTCATAAAATTTTAGGGATTAAGAGAATATTATTTTTTCTTCTTATTTCACAATACTTTTTTTTTCTAAGAGACAGGGTCTCACTCTCTTGCCCATGTTGGAGTGCAGTAGTGTTATCATAGCTCACTGTAGACTTGAACTTCTGCCTTAACCTCCCAAATAACAGGGACTACAGTTGCATGCCACTAGGCCCAGCTAATTTTTAAAAGAATTTTCTTTGAAGGCCAGCACAGTGGCTCATGCACTCTGGAAGGCCGAGGTGGGTGGATTGTCTGAGCTCACAGGTGAGTGACCAGCCTGAGCCAAAGTGAGACCTCATCTCTAAAAATAGCCGGGCGCTGTGGCAGGTGCCTATAGTTCCAGCTACTTAGGAGGCTGAGGAAGAGAATTGCTTGAGTCCAAGAGTTGGAGGTTGCTATGAGCTATGACACCACGGCACTTCTACCAGGCTGTGACAAAGTGAACTCTGTCTCAAAAAATAAAAATAAAAAAAAGGGCTTGGCGCCCATAGTGCTGTGGTTACGGCGCCAGCTACATACACCAAGTTCGAATCTAGCCTGGACCAGCTAAACTACAATGATAACTATAACCAAAAAATAGCCGGGCATTGTGGCTTTCACCTGTGGTCCCAGATACTTGGGAAGCTGAGGCAAGAGAACTGCTTAAGCCCAGGAGTTTGAGGTTGCTGTGAGCTGTTATGCCACAGCAATCTCACTCTATGTGGCATTCTATTGAGGGCAATATAGTGAGACTCTGTCTAAAAAAAAAAGAAAAAGAAAAAAAGAAAGAATTTTCTTAGAGATGAGGTCTCTCTGCGTTACTCCAGCTTTTCTCAAACTCTGGGCATCAATCAATCCTCCCATCTCAGCCTCCCAAGTAGCTGGGATTATAGGATTAAGCCAACATGCCCAAAAAGAATATTATCTTTTTTTTTTTGAGACAGAGTCTCACTTTGTCACCCTCATTAGAGCGCATGGCATCATAGCTCATAGCAACTTCAAACTCTTGGGCTTAAGCGATTCTCTTGCCTCAGCCTCCCAAGTAGCTGGGACTACAAGCACCTGCCTCAACACCCAGCTATTTTGTTATTATTGTAGTTGTCGTTGTTTGGCAGGCCTGGGCTGGCTTTGAACACACAAGCCCCGGTATATGTGGCTGGCGTCCTAGCTGCTGAGCTATAGGCGCCAAACTGAAGAATATTATCTTTTTAAAAAGTTATTCTGGCTCGGCGCCTATGGCTCAAGCGGCTAAGGCACCAGCCACATACACCTAAGGGGGAGGGTTCGAATCCCCAGCCCGGGCTCGCCAAACAACAATGATGGCTGCAACCAAAAAATGGCCAAGCGCTGTGGCGGGTGCCTGTAGTCCCAGCTACTTGGGAGGCTGAGGCAGGAGACTCGCTTGAGCCCAGGAGTTGGAGGTTGCTGTGAGCGTGATGCCATAGCACTCTACCCAGGGGTATAGCTTGAGGCTCCGTCTTAAAAAAAAAAAAATAGTTATTCTGGGGCGGTGCGTAGGGCACCAGCCCCACATACCAAGGGTGGCGGGTTCAAATCTGGCCCTGACCAAACTGCAGCAAAAAAATAGCCAGGCATTGTGGCAGGCACCTGTAGTCCCAGCTACTTGGGAGGCTGAGGCAAGAGAATCGCCTAAGCCCAGGAGTTGGAGGTTGCTGTGAGCTATGTGATGCCACAGCACTCTACCAAGGGCAATAAAGTGAGACTCTATCTCTACAAAAAAAAAAGTTATTCTGGCTAGTTAGGGTAGTTCATGCCTGTAATCCTAACACTCTGGGAGGCCAAGGCAGCAAGATCACTATATCTCAGGAGTTTGACATCAGTCTGAGTAAAACTAAGACCCCCGTCTGTATGAAAAATTGAAAAATTAGCTGGGCAGGTGTAGGAGATAAGCTCCCCTTGCTCAGACATGGCAGTTCACTTCAATGTGCTCCTCCAGGAGATTGGTTCTGAGAAACATTTCTTTGAAGATCGAGCTTCTGTACCTGCCTATAGATATGCAGGAATATGCAGAAAAGTCTCTCTCTAGGAGGTGTGAAGAATCAGCCGGGGTCGCAGCTGGGGGTGAACAGACCAGCTTCAAGCATTGGGTTCTATTCTCTGCCTTCCTCATTCATTAACATTATAATCTCTAGTTTCCATTTGGGCTAAAAGGAACAGACAGCCAGTCTCCCTTATGTTTTTACTCTAAACAAAATCAATTGTATATGTGTTCCTCAACATTCACACTAAATTGTAATCTTAAATGGTAGCTTCCTAATGTTACTTCACTTCTTTGTATATGTGTTAAATTCTTACTGAATGTTTGAAGGTACATAAGGTAATCAGTAAAGTTTAGCCAGGCCACCGACCAGAGCGAGTCCTGGTCTCCCTTAAATTATCATTCCGTCTGCAGTTCTTTCCCCTGCGTCCCCGATCAGAAGCTCCAAAGAACACACCATCAGGCAGGGTGGAGCCTATGGCTCAGTGAGTAGGGCGCCAGCCCCATATACCAAGGGTGGTGGGTTCAAATCTGGCCCTGGCCAAACTGCAACAGAAAATAGCAGGGTGTTGTGACAGGCACCCAGCTACTTGGGAGGTTGAGGCAAGAGAATTGCCTAAGCCCAAGAGCTGGAGGTTGCTGTGAGCTGTAACACCACAGTACTCTACCAAGGGCAACAAAGTGAGACTCTGTCTCTAAAAAAAAAAAAGAAAGAAAAGAAAAATTAGCTGGGCATGCAAAAAAAAAAAAATAGATACTGTTCATCATTAAGGGAATAGATAAATAAAATAAGGAATATTCATTACTTGATGCAGCAGTCAGAAGAAGTGAGATTTACATATAATCAATCACATGGATAAGTCTCAAAAACATATTTTGAATAAAAAACCATCAAATGATCTATTATAGATCATTTATGTAAATTTAAAAACCTACATCATACACACCCAACAAACATGTAACTGAGTGTATTGGAAGGATATGCGTCAACTCTCCTAGAGGGTGTACCTAAAGGGAAGGAAAGGAACAAGGCTCAGGGACAATAGGATTCATAATAAAGCAAATGTAAGATAGGCTTTGTTATGGACTGAATATGTTTCCTCTTCCCAAATTCATGTGGTAAAAATGGTAGCTGGAGTAGGGCCCTTTGAGAGGCCCATCTAATTGGGGTTAGATGAGGTCCTGAGGATGGGGCACTCGTAATAGAATTAATGTCTTTATAGGAAGAGATACCAGTAGTTTATGCTCTTGTGTGCCACCACCCACCCACCCACTCTACCCCGATAATGTGAAGACACAGCAAGAAAGGGGCTGCCTGCAAGACAAGAAGAAAGATCTGACCAGAAACTAACCATGCTAGCACCCTGATCCTGGACTTCCAACCTCCACTCAGTCTATGGTATTATGTTATAATAGTCTAAGCAGACAAATACAGGCCTCATCCAGATTAAAGAATATGATCAACTCAGATCTGTGCATAAGATCCATTAAGAGTTGAAACATGGGCTCGGCGCCTATAGCTCAACCGGCTAAGGCGCCAGCCACGTACACCTAAGGTGGCGGGTTTGAATCCCCAGCCTGGACCCGCCAAACAACAATGACGGCTGCAACCAAAAAAAAAAAAAAATAGCCGGGCAGGAGACTCGCTTGAGCCCAGGAGTTGGAGGTTGCTGTGAGCTGTAATGCCACGGCACTCTACCCAGGGGGACAGCTTGAGGCACTGTCTCAAAAAAAAAAAAAAAAAAAAAAGAGTTGAAACATGGGCGGCACCTGTGGCTTAGTGGGTAGGGTGCCAGTCCCTTATACCGAGGGTGGCAGGTTCAAACCCAGCTCCTGCCAAACTGCGACCAAAAAATAGCTGGGCGTTGGGTGGGCGCCTATAGTCCCAGCTACTGGGAGGCCGAGGCAAGAGAATCGCCTAAGCCCAGGAGTTGCTGTGAGCTGTGTGATGCCACAGCACTCTACCAAGGGCGATAAAGTGAGACTCTGTCTCTACAAAAAAAAAAAAAAAAAAAAAGTTGAAACACAATCTTCTTAGTAAAGTATCTCAAGAATGGGGAAAAAAGGCCAGGCATGGTGGCTCATACCTATCATCCCAGTACTTGGGAAGCCCAGGCAGGTGGATTGCCTACCAGGCATCCTCAAACTATGGCCCGCCTAGGACATTTATCCGGCCCACTGGGTGTTTTTGCCGCTGCTGCCTGTCCTGCTTAGCAGCCGACTCGTCCCAGGGCCTGCAGTCAGGCCCTCTAACAGTCTGAGGGACAGTGAACTGGCCCCTGTTTTAAAAGTTTGAGGACCCCTGGCCTAAGCTCACAAGTTCGAGACCAACCTGAGCCAGAGCAAGACCCCATGTCTAAAAAAAATAGGCATTGTGGCAGGTGCCTGTACTCCCAGTTACTGGGGAAGCTGAGGTAAGAGAATCACTTGAGCCCAAGAATTTGAGGTTGCTGGGTGGCACCTGTGGCTCAGTGTGTAGGGTGCTGGCCCCATGTACCGAGGGTGGCGGGTTCGGCCCCAGCCAAACTGCAACAAAAAATAGCCAGGTGTTGTGGCAGGCACCTGTAGTCCCAGCAACTCGGGAGGCTGAGGCAAGAGAATTAGAGAATTGCCTAAGCCTAGGAGTTGGAGGTTGCTGTGAGCTGTGACGCCATGGCACTCTACCAAGGGCAACAAAGTGAGACTCTGTCTCTAAAAAAGAAAATGGGGGGGCAGTGCCTGTGGCTCAAAA